CCTTCGACTCTCAGCACAGGAACTGTGATCCACTGTGACAAACCGTAGCGTGATTCATTGCCATCACGCACAGATGAGGCAAACGCATCGAGGACATCATGAGGAATGTTTGTTGAGCATTTTGTGATTATTTACAATAGAGCCGTCTAATGATTACAGGTGAAATCAGTTCAGCCCAGACTGGAGTCTGCGTAGCGTTGAAGTCGTGTGCAGCGAGACCTTTCTTCACTGTAAACACGCACACTCTGACCTCATTCATTTAAAAAGCAGAGGATATGTGCTGAGAAAACTCAAAGAAAACTACAACGTAATGCTTCCTGGGAAAAGGCTGAATTCCAACCCTGCTGCTCTGCAAGTTTACGCCTCGCATGGTCGTGCAGTCGGCCTGAGTGGAACATTCGGCGGCCCTCAGACCGTACGTTTGACATCCTTGCTATAAGGTCGGCCCACACGTTCGCAAACAAATTCATCCTTCAGTTTGAACTGAAGTGTAAGACGAATATTTCACGATGTTAACAGCAGGTATAGAAAGGCTCGTGCTGAGTGTCAGGCCGAGGTGAACACGCCTCCTCAGACGCGTCACTGTCCTCAGACGCGTCACTGTCCTCAGACGCGTCACTGTCCTCAGACGCGTCACTGTCCTTGGCTGGTACGGACGAGTGGAGAGACTATCATCAGTTAATAAGGGGGAAAATGGTTCTTTGAGCCTGGACGTGAAATACTTGAGAAAAAGGTGAACCACCGCTGAGGAGGAGCACGAATTCTTTATGTGACCAGAGCTCAGCTTGGCCAGCTGTGGTCAGCCACTCGGACCCTGGCACATACCTCCACACAGCGGCTGCTTCTCCTGAGTGCAGCACTTCACATCCTTATGTTGCCTCATTCGTCTGTATGAACACGCTGAGCTGCAAACGCTGGTCCTTCTGTTGGTCCGCACTCCTACTGACCTCAACGCTTCACTTGACCTCCTGCAGTGCATTTGGACATTAATTGGAGAAGTTATTTGGAAGCTTTACCTATTTAATCTCAGTAATCACAGCCAGGTGGTGCAGGCGTAGCACAGCATTTCCAGACTGTTCGGAGACCCTGTGTGGTGTTTTTTCCCCTGCGGCCCTCCAAAAGACACAAAATCATCCACAGCTCGTCCGTGGGTGTGACACGGCCATGAATCGGTTCTTGTCTTTGCTGCCCGGCCGTGCCCCACCTCCACCTCTTGCTCCACATTAGCTGGGATAGACTCCAGCTCTTTAGCTGCTACCACAGCTGCTGGTGGCATCCAGAGACTGATGGCATGGAGAAATTTGAGCTTGCAGAAACTCATCATTCCAGCAATCATTAGATTTCTCTCCTGGAGATTAAATATTCTCAGCTTTTGAAAAGCTCAGATTGTGCGATCAAAGGAAACCGAAGACAGAACGAGGGTCGATCATTATTGGATAAGAGTGATGAAGACACCTGCAATCAATCAATCCTTATGTAATCAAACCTCTGAAGCGTCACTCATTATAAAGTGCCGTTGTACGTCTCCACTCACACCCACTCACAGACACCGTGGGGGGGTGGGGATGCATTGCTTTACACCACCCTCTCCCAAATCCTGTCCCAGTGAAACGCTGCTTTCTGTCAGGATGTCACACTTTTTTTTAAGCAGCCAAATGAGGTCAGATCCATGCATGAATATGAACGTGTGCATTTTCCTGCAGGAAAATAACACCAAAGATGCCATCAGGGGAGAAATCTTCTTAAACCCTGTTAAACCCCATTAAAGCACAATAATCTCACAGCACCTCTCAGTACGCCATAGTCTACCTGATCTTCAGGGTCTCCTGATTTTTTGCAGCTCTGTGGATTCCCCACCGAGTTCTCTTCGCTCTCCCTGTAACCCACACTCAGGCTTGCCTCGGCAGATCAATGGAGCAGCATGAGGTTAGGTTTTTAATTGAGCTGTCCTGAAGGGTGGGGGTGGTTTTAATGAGGCCAGGGCCTGTTTTCATCCTGACCTTTGAGGCTGTGCTCTACAGGTGTCCATCCTCTAACTTAAAAGGAATGTATGGGCTTGTAGGGTTACCCCAGAGGTGCCAGACCTCACAAGTGTGTCTGCAGCTTGACATTTTCACCTGAATTAAAGTCTCAGCCAGGTTTTTAACCTGTTACACTGTATACAGTGTTTCTGATACCTGTGTTATCATTTAGCAAGGAGGATGGTTTGTACTCACACACAACCCAAAGCAAAAATACGATTGTGCACAATATTAATAAATGACACAAGAACACGGCTGCTTTGTTCATGTAATCATATTTCTGTCACCACCAGCTTAAAGAACAACACAAACAGTCTGTAAGCATCAGCTCCACAGAGACAGGAGTCCAGCACAGGACACTGGCTGTGCAAAGGTGTGCTGGGGACTATGCAGCATTCAGCAGCAGGATGAGACTGGGTACACAGCTGGGACAGTGTACAGGAACATCTGTGCCACATATGGGCTAAAAGACCCAACGGGAAAACAAGGCTCAGATGTTAGCAGGTCTAAAGTTTCTTTAATGTGAAATTAAAGCAGATTTAACCAAATAACTTGTCCATCAGGTACAAGTGTCATTACAAACCACTGCTGCAAACAAGTGAAGTAAAAGTCATCACCATCATAAGAAAACTCTCTTTAAGTCAGCTCGTCCCACAAAAACCATGATGACATCATCAGTGCTAAGTGCAGCCAGGCTGTTTCAGCAGCCAGTCAGCCCACAGAGCCAGCACACTGAACACACACAGACACATCAGACCAGAGGTAAACAAACAAGCCATATACAGTAAAATGATCAAAGTAATCTATTACTTGTGTTTGTGCTTCCTGAGACTGTAAAAAGTACTCGAGAGCAGTGACACTGTCATCATTTTCACACAAAGACATCTTCTCTGCACATGCTCCACATGCCCATCAGGCCAGCATCAGTGTCAGAGTTCACTGTGAGGGGATTCTGCAGGTGATCCTTAGTGGGGGGTGGAGCCTATCCCTATTAAGCACACGTGTTTGAACCTGCGCAAAGATGCAAACGGTGGAGGTGAACGCAGGCAACAGTGCTAACCACAATGCTGCCTTTATTCAGGATGCAGCCTACACCCTGCTGTACTCGCTGTGTTTATTCAGCAGGTAACGCATCAATAAATAACGTGACCTGGATATGAGCCGACAGCAGGAAAGATTTGACCACAGCGGCGTCTCCTGAAGCTTAGTTTTATTTACTTGCTCGACTCGATTGCTGTGACAAGACAATGTCCTGAAGGAATGTGCCTCAGTAAACAGGCAGATTTGTCAAACAGCCGTGCTTTGTTTGTAAAATATCAAAGTCATTACGTAAGAAATTATATCAGAAAGAAAGAGTGTGGGCATGCAGTTTGTTCCCATATATCAGGGGTGTCCAACTCCAGGCCTCAAGGGCCGGTGTCCTGCAGGTTTTAGATCTCACCCTGGGTCAACACACCTGAATCACATGATTAGTTCATTACCAG